CCAGCATGATGTCCCTCTCTAAAGACTTGTCTCTCCTTGCAACATGTCCAAAGTATGTCAGACGAAGCCCCAGAATCCTTGCCTCCAAGGAGCAGTCTGGTTTAATCCTCTCTAGGATGAATGTTTGTTTTCTTGGCAGTCCATGGTACATTCAATACTCTTCTCCAGCACCACAGTAGTAATTTAAAAAATCATTGCTCCTGTGTGCTGCATAGTATTCCATTATGTGACTGGACCATAATTTCTCAATTTGTTCCATGGTGGTTGGGCGTTTGGGCTGTTTGTGTGTTCTTGCTATGGTAAATAATGCTGCTATGAACATTGGTGTAAAAACTTCCATTTGTGCCTCAGTTCTCATTTTCTCAGGGTATATTCCAAGCAGTGGAAGAGTTGGGTCATTGGGAATCTTTATGTTCACCTTTTTGAGGAAACACCAAACTGCCTTCCAGAATGGTTGTACCATTTTACATTTCCACCAACAATGTATTAAGAGTTCCTGTCTCGCCACTCCTCTCTGACATTATTACTTGCTGCCCTGATAAACTTCCACACTGCTACTGGAATAAGATGGTGTCTCATTGTGGTTTTGATTTGCATCTCTCTTATTGATAGTGGTTTGGAGCATTTCTTCTTGTGTCTGTTGGCCATCCAAATGTCCTCTGTGAAAAGTCTTTCCATTTCTTTAGGGTAGCTTTTTTTAAAGGCTTCATCCAGCCTCTCTGACTGTAGAAAGACAGGGTTCCATAAAAACTTTTAAGTTCTATTTTGAATGTCATATTCCCCTATTCTCCCAGCTTTGATCAGGATTCATTGATAGCATCTTTGTTTAGAATATTCAGTACTAGTAGCTGGACATCATCTAGGTTTTCTGGTTTTGTGGCAGAGTTGTTGAAGGCCTGGTTAGTTATACATTCCATTTTCTCTTATTCCTGACTCTCCTTCCTCTCTGGATGTCTAGAAACCAGTTATCTTGGGTGAGAAATTCTCTTGTTGCAATTTAGTCTTTTCTTACTAGTATTTAACAGACATATTGTACACTCAAGCCTCTGTTAGGAACTGTAGTATTGTTTGGTGCTTTGTTTGGAAGACTATGTGTACCTTTCTAAAAGTAACAGTAGCTTTAATTGTTTACTGTGTTAAAGCCAAAATCCAAGTGTCCTACTTTGATTTCATTTTAACTTTCACTGCTGATAGAAGGAGATACTATTCTTTTCTGACACTTGAGATGAGGAAGCTAAAGGTCATATTGTTGTGTTAGGTACACTTGAATCTACTCAGCTCACAGCAACCTTACGTAAAGAACAATGAATCTTTGTCCAAAGGTCATAACTTATACTAGATGTTTTAACTCCAGAGGTTATAGAAGGGTAATTTAAGAGATAACTTTATAGGAAATGGCAAATAAAAAATACCAAGTAAATTTTCAAAGAATAGAAGTGATGAGAAAAAGTATTATGGTGACACTTGTAATACTGGGAAGGAAATTCCCTTTCTGAGCACTTTGTAGGCAAAGCCTCGAATGCTTTTACAAGGTTTGATTTGTATAATTCTACAATGGGTAAACTATAGCCTGACATTGCATCTCAGTGTCAAGAAAACAGAAATTCCACCACTGGACCAATAGCTAATGTCATCATAGAGAGGATTGAGACTGTCAACAACTTCTTACATGGATCCACAATCAGTACACTTGGTATCAGCAGTCAGGAGGTCGGGAGACATATTGCTCTGGGAAATTGCAGTATGTCAGGAGTCATACCGCACTCCAGTCAGGGACCTTTCAGATTACTGAAAAGCGATGATGTCAGTTTGAGTACTAAGATGCCGCTGTTTCAGCCATGGTCTTTTCAGTCACTTGCTTTGTGTTTAAGAGCTGGACAGTGAATGATGACAGAAGAATTCATGCCTTTGAAATGTGGTACTGACTAACCCATTGCAAAAAGTACTGAATATCCCAACTGCCAAAAGCACAAGCAGGTCTTGGAGAAGGTGCATTCGGAGTGCTCCTTGGAGGCAGAGATGTTAAAGCTTGTCTCACATACTTTGGGTGTGTTGCCAGGAGAGATTACTCCTTGGAGAAGGACATCACGTCATGCTTGGAAAGGTGGAGGAACAACAAAGGAGAGGAAGACCCTCAGCCAGGTTGATTAACACATTGGTTGCAGCAGTGGGCTGGAATGTGTCAGAGATTGTGAGGCTGGAGCAGGATAGCACAGAGTTCAGATTTGTTGTTCATATTGTAGTCACTATGAATTGTACTTGATTCAAGGGCATCTAACTACAATGATGGGTAAAGAGCTATGTTGACAACTAAAAGCTAGGTAGTCCAAATCCATTAGCTGCTCTTCAGGAGAAAGATGGACAGTTTCTTTCTATGCAATTTACAGTTTCTGAAAACCTGCTGTCTCTGTCAGGTTAGTGATGAGTCTTAATGATTCCACAGCTACAACATCCTTATGCGTTACCTGTTACACTCATTTTACAAATGGTACAATGTTTAGAGAGATTGAGTAGTGTCAAATTAGTTAATTTAGCAGAAAAGGAAAGTAGGATTTCTAAACTAGCCATGAGTATGGCAAGGAGTAAATCTGAGGAGGATGTGAGTGTCTTTGTGAAAGAGGTGGAGAGAATATCATACTGGAGTGAATATATTGACCAGAGACACTCTTATCTGGATGGAGTTTGGACTTTGTCCCATAGGGGAAGCGGAGAAGTCATTGAATATACTCTGACTAGAGAATATATGTATTATGTAAACAATAATACTACAGCTGCCTTACTAGATCCAAGCTGACTTGCTTACATCCAAGTCTACAGTATAGATTCTAAGATTCTCCTTTGTACTGTGTACTTTCCACCATGAGTTTTTTTCCTCCTCTCTGTCAATCTCCCTTTGTCTGCTATAATTAAAATAAAAATTATTAGACGAGGCTTTTGGTGTTATTTATATATGGAGTAAAAGATAACTTAAAAATCCCACCCGAATTAATACATATTTACTCAGTAGAGAAATGTGTTCAAAGGCAAAGATCAGGAGTCAGTTTAATTGGATGATGAAGATTGTGCAACCACGTAGAACTGTCTCTGGTTTTAGCTTTATGACTTAACTAGTTTTGCATTCTGTTCTCGTGGAAGTAATTTTCTAAACTTCATTCTGAAAAATTGAGATAATGTCTGCCTTCCATGGTGGCTGGGAGGATTAAAGGAGTTTATGACAGCCTGTAACAGTAGTTACTTAATAAAGAGTGTCTAATATTATGAAGTCCTCCTTCCATATCTTTTCAATGTATATGCAGAACAGATTATTTGGAGGGCTGGACTTTTTGAGAGGAATATGGCATCAAGATTGGAGGAAGACTCATCAACAACCTACATTATGCAGATGATACAACCTTGCTTGCTGAAACTGAGGACGACCTGAAATGCTTGCTGCAGAAGGTCAAGAATTGTAGTCTTCAATATGGGTTGAAGCTCAACATCAAAAAACCAAAGCTCTCGGCAAGCTCTGGTGGCCTAGTGGCAAGAAGCTGCACTGCAATCTCTAGAGGTACACGGTTCAAATCCACCAGATGCTCTGCTGGAGAAGGAGGAACAATCTCCTCCTGTATCAGTCAGATCTGATTTGATGGTACACAGAAAAAATAATGAAATAAAATTTTTTAAAAAAAAAAGATAACAAAGCTCTCACTACTGGGCCAATTGGCAACACCATGATGGACAGAGAAGAAATCGAGATTGTTAACAATTACAACTTACGTGGCTCCACAGTCAGCACTCTTGGTACCAGCAGTTAGGAAATCAAAAGATGAATTGCCCTGGGAAAATCTACTGTCTGAGGACTCTCCAGAGTGCTAAAGCTTGATGATGTCAGTCTAGGGATTAAGGTGTACCTCATCCAGGCCATGGTCTTAAAAATTACTTACTGTACATCAGAGAGCTGGACAGTGACTAAGGGTGACAGAAGAATTGATGCTTTTGAGTTGTAATGCTGAAGAAGAGTCTTGAACATGCTATGGACTGCCAAGAAAACAGTAAGTCTGTCTTAGAGAATGTGAAACCAAGTCTTTGCTCGGAGGCTAGGATTTTGAAGCTCTGTCTCATATACTTTGGGCACTTGGCCAAGAGAGACCAGACCTTGGAGAAGGACATCATGCTTGGCAGTGTGGAGGGACAGTGCAGGAAAGAATTGATACAGTAACTGGGGCAATGAGGCTAGGTGTGTTGGAGATAGTGAGACTGGCTCAGGACAGGCCAGGCTTCAGGGCTGTTGTGCATAGGGTCACTGTGAGTTGCAGGCGACTGAGCAGCACACAGCATCAACAGTAGCACGCATGTGTGAAAGTTGAACAATGAATAAAGAAAACCAAAGAAGAATCAATGACTTTGAATTGTGGTGTTGGAGAAGAGTACTGAATATCCCATGAACGGCCAAAAGAACAAATAGATGTGTCTCGGAGAAAGTACAGCCAGAGTGCTCCTTGGAGGCAAAGATGACAAAGTTTCCTCTTGTGTACTTTGACATATTGCTGCTGTTGTTGTTGAGGTGCTTTCAAGTCAAGTAAGACTCATAGTAACCCAATGATCAATAGACCAGAATCCTGCCTATCCGATGCCTTCCTAGGAGAGGCTTTTCCTTGGAGAGAGATACCATGCTTGGAAAGGTGGAGGGTCAATGAAAGAGAGGAAGACCTTCAATTAGATGGACTGACACATCAGTGGGCTCAAGTATGTTAGAATTGATGAAGATGGCACAGGATAGGACAGGGTTCTGATCTTTTGTTCATAGGGTCGCTTGCTGTGGCACCTAGCAATAATAGCAGAACCTTGTGAAGAATGTTTTTTAATTTTATTGTTAGGAAATGACAGCTCAAAAAAAAGGTCTCAAAGTAATTTGCTGAAGGACCGAGATTATTTAAAAGTAAAGGCTTGGATTTGAACCCAAGTCTCAGACTCTATATTTAGCTCTCTTACCATAGTTGCCTCCCTGTTACTATGTTTTCCCTTCATAGTAGTTTATAAACCCCTGGATTAAGTTGGTAGTAATTTTAGTACAACTGGCAACTGTTTGCTTAGTGCCGAGTCATTGTTGCCTCTCTCTGTCCTTAATAGGCCAAGAAACTGCCTATGCCAGTGCTTGTGACCTCTCTGTCACCTACATGGTCCCTCTCATCCTTGGGCAGAGCTCAGCATGGGGGAGGGAAGGGAGCAAGGTTTGGCTCCAAGGACATGGAATTACCGAACACTCTCAGGATTCTTTTTCCTACCAGGTGTCATGTTGATTGAGGTATGTCTGCTGAGGAAATTAACCCTCCCCCTCTTTTTGTTTTCTAGCCTGGCTTTCGAAAACATCTGGGCTTGTTGGAGAAGAAGAAAGATTACAAGCTTCGTGCAGAGTAAGTTGAGTCTTACTGGTAAAGGTGCTGCCAAAAAAGCCTACAGTCTCCTTGTGCTGCCACTGAATTGCCCGAGTGTCCAAAGGGGATAATTTCCTGCCATTGAGAAAATGGCCAAACGCCTGGCAGCCTGTCAGATACTTTTCTGTGACCCTAAACGTCTCTCTTTGTTTAGGCAGAACATTATTTATTTAACTGTAGTTGCATTGTAACTTTTTTTATTATGTTACTCCAAATCTTTTTCTCATAGAGACTTTGATTTGCCTCTGCCTTGGTGTTTGAGCCAAATTTGAATCTTTTTTTTCCTCTCTCTTTTTTGAAGTGCAAGATAAAAATCTAAAATTCCAGTTGTTGAGTCTCTTATATCACTGTGTGTGTGGTGTGGAATGAAGAGAAGTGAAAGATGGATTCATGAGACTGAGCGTGGGTGATAATGAACTCTGCAAACATTTTCGAAAACAATTATCCCCATTCTTCTTCTTCTTTAGCACTTTATTTGCCAAATACTTTGTTAATTATTTGTTAGCTGTTCTTGCCAGTTGAGGTCTTCCTTATGCTCCTGGTACAGACAGTGATGGATTAAGTGGATTGCTCTGGGTCCCAGAGTTTAAGGGATGATGATGATAATAATAATAATAATAATAATGGCAGCAGCTGATGTTAGATGGATCTTAGCTGAAAGCAGAGAATACCAGAAGAATGTCTATCTGTGTTTCATTGATTATGCAAAGGTATTTGACTGCGTGGATCATAACAAACTGTGGCTGACTCTGAGAAGAATGGGAATCCCAGAACATTTAATCGTGGAAGAATGGGAATCCCAGAACATTTAATCGTGCTAATGCGAAACCTATACTTGGACCAAAAGGCAGTCGTCAGAACAGAGCAAACAGAGCAGGGCAACACTGCCTGGTTCAAAATTGGGAAGGGTGTACGTCAGGGATGTGTCCTGTCTCCATACCTTTTCAACCTGTATGCAGAGCAGATTATCCGAGAGGCTGGGCTCTATGAGGAGAGGCGTGGCGTTAGGATTGGTGGACGATCTGTCAACAATCTGCGTTATGCAGATGACACAACCTTGCTCGCTGAAACTGAGGAGGACCTCATGCACTTACTGCAGAGGGTCAAGGACTGCAGCCTTCAATATGGACTGAGGCTCAATGTCAAGAAGACAAAAATTCTCACCACTGGACCAACTGGTAGCATCAGGATGGATGGCGAAGAGATTGAGATTGTTCACAGCTTCAGTTTGCTCGGCTCCACGGTCAACACTCTTGGCACCAGTAGCCAGGAAATCAAAAAAAGTATTGCGATGGGAAAGTCTGCGGTTAGGGACCTCTCCAAAGTACTCAAGAGCGACAGTGTCTCTCTGGAGACTAAGGTCCGCCTGATCAGGCCATGGTTTTTGCAATCACTTGTTATGCATCAGAGAGTTGGACAATGACTAGGGAGGATAGAAGGAGAATTGACGCCTTTGAGCTGTGGTGGTGGAGAAGAGTATTGAATGTACCATGGACTGCCAAGAAAACAAACAGATTCATCGTAGAGAGGATTAAACCAGGCTGCTCCTTGGAGGCAAGGATTCTGGGGCTTCGTCTGACATACTTTGGACATGTTGCAAGGAGAGACAGGTCTTTGGAGAGGGACATCATGCTGGGTAGAGTGGAGGGATGGCGCAGGAGGGGAAGACCCTCTATGAGGTGGATTGATTCAGTGACTGGGGTAATCGGGATGGGTGTGTCAGAGGCAATGAGATTGGCACAGGATAGAGCACGGTTTAGGGCTCTTGTACATAGGGTCGCTATGAGTCGCAAACGACTCGACGGCACATAACAACAACAACAACAATAAGAAGAAGAATAATTATCATTATTATTATTAAGGGTTGATACTGGGCCAGGCAATTTTAGAAGATTTTGAGTGTTTTTATTAATTATTCCTTCCAGTAATTTCCTAGGATAAAGCCTAGAAACTGAACCCATTGTTGTTGAGTTGGTTCTGACTCATAGTGACCCTGTAAGACAGAGTGGAATTGCCTCCTTGTGTTTCGAAGTCTGACACACTTTTGGAAGTAGATAGCTGTATCTTTTTCTTGTGGAGTATCTGGTGGGTTCAAACTGCCAACCTTTAAGTTGACAGTTGAGTGCTTAATCACTGTACCTCCTAGGCTTCTAACTTTTTAGGGGATATTTGATCTTGTTAGTTGCCTTCAAGTTGACTACAATTAAAAATGACCCTGTAAACAACCTCATCCTGTACCATAAGGATCCTGTACTATCCTTATGATCTCTGATATACTTCAGCCTGTTGTTCTTATAGTCACTCTGTCAATTCATTTTGTTGAGGGTCTTTTATCCTCTTTATATTACAGGTGAAATTGGGATACAGAATGATTGATTAACTTAATCAAAGTTTTTCAGCCAGAATTAGTGTGTTCAAGATTTGAACCCATATAGTTTCTTCCCTTCCCTCATCTGGGCTCCAGAGTCTATGGTTCTAATCATTATACTGTTCTGCATTGGTAGTTTCTGAATCTGCTGAAGATTGCACCAAACCTCAGGAGTTTTTATTTGTGCTTTGTTTAGTGTTTTTATATAATTACTTAAATGACACTAACATGGCAGCAGCATGATGGATGAAGAGATTGTTAACAGCTTTTGTTTGCTTGGCTCCACAATCAACACTCGGCACCAGCTTTTAGTCTGGAAATCAAAAGATGAATTGCTTTGGGAAAATCTGCTGTCAGGGACCTCTCCAGAGTACTGAAGACAACAGTGTCAATCTAAAGATTAAGGTGCCATACTCTTTGCAGTTACTTGCTATACATCAGAGAGCTGGACAGTGACTAAGGATGTCAGAAGAATCAATGATTTTGAATGGTGGTGCTGGAGAAAATGCCCTGGACCACCAAGAAAACAAATAGGTCTATCTTCGAGAGGGTCAAACCAAGTTTCTACTTGCAGGCTCAGATTTTGAAGCGTTGTCTCACATATGGGCAAGTGGCTGGGAGAGATTGGTCTTTGGAGAAGGACATCATGCTTGGTAGTGTGGAAGGACAATGCAGGAGGGGAGGACCCCAGATGAGTAGGATTGATACGGTGACTGGGGCGATGGGAGTTGGTGTGTTGGAATTAGTGAGACCAGCTCAGGACAGGGCAGGGTTCAGAGCTGCTGTACATAGGTCACTATGGTCACAGGCAACTCAATGGCACAGGCACGTAACAACAACATGTACATGGGATAATTAAACCAAACTGCTGTCTAGTTGATTGTAACTCATAGTGACCCTGTAGCACAGAATAGAGCTGCCTTGTATGTTTCACGGGCTGAGGGGCTATATAGAAGCAGACTACCACATCTTTCTTCCAGGGGGCAACTGGGAGGTTTGAATTACTGACCTTTTGGTTACAACCAAGTGCCACTGTCAAAAAAACCTCACTGCTGTTAAATTGGGATCATTGCATAGCAGACTTTTTAGTGGAGTTTTGGAAGCTGTAAATTGCATGGGAGGAGACTGACCATCTTCTACAGAGCTGCTGGTAGGTTTGAACTACCAGAGAGGTGCTGTCTTTGGTTTAGCAACACCGCTCCCTATAGAACACCACCAGAGTCATTATGGCATTAGGGTGCCTTACATACACATGGATTCTCTCCCTCATTCTCTCATTGCCATTGGGCAAGAACCGACTCATAGCTGACCCTCTAGTGTGTTTTTGAAGGCTGTAAATCACACAGGAGGCATTTTGCCTATCTTTCTCCTGTGAAGCCACTGATGGATTCAAACTACTGGAGAGGTGTCACCTTAAGTTTAGCAGCACAGCGTTCTACTGATGCCAGAGCTTGCTTCTACAAGTAATTGTTGTTAGGTGCCATAAAGTTGATTACAACTCCTAGTGACCCTGTGATAGAGGCATTCATTTTAGGTAGGATTGGGATAGGAGAGCCATCCTGTAGAGCTAGGAGCGTGGCATCAGTGACCGTGGATCTGACTATGGACTCAGATTTAGTCATTGCTTTGGCCTTTCTTGCATTTCATTTAACATGAGCTTTGTTTTTGTGGGTTTTTTTCTTCTTCTCTGTTTTGCATGAACTTTTAGATTATGAAGTCTTTGTCCTTTTTGCTGTAAACCTTTTTAAATCTTACCTAGTGACTACCGAAAAAAGCAAGAATACCTCAGAGCTCTCCGGAAGAAGGCTCTTGAAAAAAATCCAGATGAATTCTACTATAAAATGACTCGGGTTAAACTCCAGGTAGGTGCTTATTGATTAGTGGGTTGAGCTCCAGCTGGAGGAGAGAAGATGGAGAGGAGGGATCTTTAACCTTAATATAGCCCTTTTCTAACTGGGCCAGGTGCTCTTGGTCACTGTCCAGAGCAAACCTGGCTCCTCATGGGCAGCCTTTCATTTCTGAATCTGAGTTGTACAGAGCGTGGGTTATTAGAGCTGCTAAATTGTGTGTTCACCTCAGGGCGTGGATCATTGAATTGTTAGCGTAAAGCATTGGGTTGTTTTTGTTTCAGCATGGTGTTTTGTGGAGCTAAATTAATGATTTTAATTTAATAGGGAATGTAACTTTTAAAATTTGGATTTTAGGATGGAGTTCATATTATTAAGGAGACAAAGGAAGAAGCAACTCCAGAACAGCTGAAACTGATGAGAACTCAAGACATCAAATATATAGAAATGAAGAGAGTTGCAGAAGCTAAGGTAACAATTGAAACTCTGTTCTATTCTATTTTTGTTGGTTAAGACAGATACATAAATCCATCAATCTCCAGTCATAAATTGATTTAGTTTAGAATTTAAAGCGTGCTTAATTATGATAATGAATTAGAAGTATAATCAGCGTGATAGAATGGAAAGAATTCAAGTTTGGGGTTGAGACAGAGTTAGGTTTGAATTTGGCTTTGCCATTTACTCAATCCATGATCATAGACAAATGAACCTCCCTGAGGCTGTTTCCTCATTTCTAGCTCATAGGACTATTGTAAGGATTAAATGAGTTTTGTGGAATGCTTAACTAGCACTACCTAAATTTTAATGACCCTTCCAGAAGAGAATGAAGTAAATAAATTCTTTGCTGGCTGGTGATAATGATGTGAAATGGTTTAAATTTTTGGAATGCATCCCTGATACTCCAGGAGAACCCAATGTAAAGTGAGACCTTACTCTGTTCTGTATTTTAGAAAATTGAAAGACTAAAATCAGAGCTCCATCTACTGGATTTCCAGGGGAAGCAACAGAATAAGCATGTGTTCTTTTTTGATACCAAAAAAGAAGGTATGAAATATTTGAAGCTTTCTGAGACAGTCTGGTATATTGATTTTGTTTAGAGACAGCCTTTGGACGTTGCCTAAAAGATTCCTTTGACTTTTAGTTGAAAACTTTGATGTTGCAACTCACCTGCGAACAGCCCCGGAACTAGTTGATAGAGTCTTTAATAGACCCACAATAGAGACTTTGAAGAAGGAAAAAGTGAAAGGAGTAACTCGTCAGACTCAATTTAAGGTAATATCTTTCATTGTTCTTCAGATTTAATTTAGGGAAATCGAGGTTCCTTCTTTTCCTCATTGCATTTAATGTAATTTGTGGAAAAGCTGTTTAGAAAAGTGGAAAGAGATTTCGATTATGGAGGTGGAAATGAAGGAGAGTTTTGTAGGTTTTTTTAAATTGGGAGATGTGTAACATATAGTGGTCAGAAGCCCATGGCTTTGAGCCAGAACCCATGTTCTGGGCTTGAATCTCAGCTTTGACTCTGTATTTCATGAAAAGCCAAGTATGTTTTGTTTTTTTTAAATACAGAGAAAAGAGGGGCTACTGAAGAGTAAAGTATGTGGAATACTTATTTAACACTTAACCTTTAGCATTGAATGCACATGTCAAAAAGTCTTTTTAAATCACCCAAATGGTTGTAGCCAAAATTTTCTATTTGCGTTTTCCTTACAATACTTTACATCACTGTACCTAACTAGATTTGTACAGAAGCTGTGCTTTTTCTCAAAGCATTCTGAACTCTCACTTCTGACTGATTCATTTAAAAAAATGCTGTCAATGTGTTTCAAGCAGGCAGCTGTTCTGTTTTGATTTGAATCATTTACACCGCATCAGCTTTGCTTCCAATGTTTAATTTCACAGCAGTTTTCTCTAGCTCAGAGGCAGCTAAACTTGCTTTAGTAATATAAATACCCCTAATTAGTTTGACTATATTGGGTAATCCCATAAATTTGACAGTCTGTGCAATAAAGTGAAAACAAAAGCTGTCTGAAACCACTGCTGTGAGACTAAGCTTGAATCGGTGAATTGTGTAAGTCTGAGGCCCAGTGCTCTCCCCCTCTATGCTGATAACACTTGGCAGAGGAGCCGGCTGACTCGTGTTCTTGCGATAACCCTGTTTGTCAATTAGTTGTATTTTCAATTATCTGTGTCACTAACACTTCTCAGGAATTGTAGTATCCCCCAAAGAGATTAATATTCCAAGCTTGTGTATGGAATAGTTCACAGCATACCTTTTGAAAAGTTGGGAAGTTTTGAGTCTTTTTCTAGCATTGTTCTATCTTTTGATTGTTTTCTCTAAAGTAAAATTAATTTTTATTAAGGGACTGTTGGTGGGTGAATTTAAAGGGAATTTTGTCTGCAATGTGGAGAAGTGTGGATGATCCTTACATGAGCTTTGATGATGTCTGTGAACAATGCACCGTTGCCTTTTTTGTGCAAATGAATGTCTATTGTTTGCACACATTTGTTCAAATGAATATACCGTTGTCTCAAGAAAGAATTACAAATTTGTTAGTTTCCCAAAGGTTTATGATTCCCCAAATGTAAGGATTATGAGGAAAGAGCCAAGCAGTGGTGGCACAATGGTTAAAGCACTTGACTGCTAACCAGAAATTGACACTTCCAACCCACCAGCTGCTCCACAGGAGAAAGATGAGGCATTCAGCTTCTGTAAATATTTATAGCCTTGGAAACGCTGTGGGATAATTTTACTCTGTCTTTTAAGGTTGCTATTAGTTGGATTGATCTGACACCAGTAAACTTGGATTCTGCTTTTTAATTTTTGTTTTGATGAGTCATGAGGAGTGAGAATTCTCAGGTCCGCTTTTGCTGCAAAAGTCCTGCTTTCTGAGTTCTGAGGTTCTCAGCCTGTGGCAGCCCCTCTTTTCCTCTTCATTCACTGTGTGTGGGGTTTCTAGTACTGGCTCACTGATAGCCACCACCCTCAGTAGTCAAGAGCTCGTACACTGAGGTTGACATGGCTTAGTGGAGTGGTGGAAAAATTCTTGATGTTTGTGGACTTGGGACAGCCCTAGCTGTTCCAGATGAACTGAATATCCTTAGCAAGTTATTTTTATTTTCTATATTTCAGTTTCTGCATTTATGATATGACAGGTTTTACTAAGCTGATTTTCAAGGTTCCTTTCAGTTCTAGAAAGTGATATTTCGAAAATAGACTTTATATAAAGTCATGCTGTGTTGATTTGGGGGGGTAAGAATTCATACATTTGGGCTTAAGTGGAACAATAAACATTTTCTTACATTATTATTCTTTGAGTGAATATTTGTGTGTTTCTTCTGCAGCGCATTGCTAAAGAAAGGCAGAAGCAATATAACCACCTGAAACAGCGGATTGAGCGAGAGAAGGAATTGTTTGTTGTTGCACAGAAAATTCAAACACGCAAAGATCTTCTGGTGAGGGGAGAAAAGCCTTAGGCCTTCACTATTGGGTGGTGTTTTTTTTTTTTGCCTGCTTGTAAAGGTCTTAACTGAAACTGGATTTCAGCTGTGTGTAAATCAACCCCACTGAAAATGTCTGCTCCTCAGGGGCAGTGGTTTGAGCCAATGTCTGTTACTCTGACAGTGCTGAAATGTTTCTTGATTAAGAAGGTAATAAGGGGGTTATTAGTCAGTGCTTTGGAACAGCAAAGGGTAGGATCAGGTAGCATATGAACTTTCTAGCTTATGAGCAGCTATCTTTAACATTTAAACAGGTTAACAAAACAGTGCATGTCACTCATTGGTGCTTAAAAATAGACAACATTGTGTAGTTAAATAGCAGAGCTAAGAAATCTAAGATGCCCCTTTCATATTATTATCATTTCTCTAAATGTCAAATTCTTTAGGTTTGCAGATTACTTAAGGCAGGCTTTTTCAATAGGAATTTAGTGAGAGGACCTGCCAGAAAAAATTACTTGGAAGACTTTTTTCTCCCATTTTCCCAGGAACTGTACAGAGCTAAGGATCTTTGGTGACATAGTTTGCTATATGTTGAGCTACTGACTGAAAGGTCAGCAGTTTGAATCCACTAGCCACTCCAGAGGAGAAAGATGGGCAGATTCCTCCCTTAAAAGGCAGCCTTGGAAACGGGATGGAGGGGCACTGTAAATCATACAACTTGATGGTAGTGGGTGTAGCTTTGTATGCAACTAGTACCATTATAGATGATCAGAAGAGAACGCAGTGAATTCGTTACACACAAGGGATACCTTAGGGCCTTAGGGCATTGTTTCTTCTGAATGAGCATTGCTGTTCACTGATTATCTTTTTACTTTTTTTGTAGGATAAAACTCAGAAGGTGAAGGTGAAGAGTGCAACAGTAAACTCCCCTGCTATTTATAGATTTCAGGGCCGTCGAAAACGTTGATAGGCTCTAGTTGAACATTGTAATCCTGCTTGAACAAGAATTATGTTTTTCCCTTGCCCTAAGTAATTTCACATTCCATTAGTCTAGAAGGCATATTTTTATCTACTTATAGTAGTAATAAATTATTGTAAATCCTAAAGTGTGATGTCTTTCTATAAACAGTATTAAAGCTCTTCATGCTGTTGTTTTTAGATTGTAAAATCAGTCTTAATTTGTATAGACTTAAATTTATAATCTTATTTCAGCAAATTTGGAAAAGAAACTTATTTTATTGTGGAGCAACTGTCTATTCAAGAACAACAGTTTATTACCTACTATGCTTAGGCTAAGTAAGTGAACAAGTGCTATGAGCTTCTGGTTTATTAACCTCGTTTTTTAAAACTTTACACACCAACTTCCGTTTCTGTTCTTGTGTTTTGTAGTTGTAATTATAGTGAACAATATCATATCCTGTTTTTTCACCTTACGTTGCTTTTTTTTCTTTTTTCTCCATTTTGTTATACTACCAAATGTTAAAGTTGTTAGGTGCCATCAAGTCGAGTATGACTTACAGCGACCTCATGAACAAAACATCTGAACCCTGTTCTATCCTGCACCATCCTCACACTTCCTGACACAAGAGCCCATTGCAGCCATCACCATGCCAGTCCACCTGGTTTAGGGTCTTCCTCTCATACATACTCATGGCAAAAATGTAAATAAGTATTGTTTGTGATGATTGCTTAAATTTTATACAGTGGATAGAATGATTTTACCATTATTCATTTTTCTGTTATTGAGTGTTCAGGTGGCTTCATAAATTACCCAAAGGAGATCTTAAACTTTTAAGCTATAGATAGAAACTTGTTGAGCGAATAACCCAGAGAGGCATCTCTTTGTTTATGAAGCTTAAATTAGAATCAAGTTGTCTTAAATGCCCTCAGCCCTTCTGGCCAGACTTTGATTCCAAAGCTGTATATGAGATAGTACAACCCTTCACCTTGGAATCTAAACCCTAGAGTGTAGATGGCAGCTTCCTTCACCTCTTCCTAAAGTCACCTTTTCCCTCCCTGCCCTTAGAGGCCACTCTGAATAGGACGGTGCATGCTTGGAGCAGATGGGAGAGGAATAGAGAACAGGATTCTGAAAGGCTTTCTCACACCTCACCTGGTGCCCTGGCAAGAGCAACTGTGTGGATTTTAAAGATGTATATAAACAAAAACAAACTCATAGCTGATCTAGTGTGCTTCCCAGGTTGTAAATCACCCAGGAGGAGATTGACTGTCTTTCTCATTCAAAGCCACTGGTGGATTTGAACCACCAGAAGAGCAGCCTTTGGGTTAGCGCAACTACCCAGAGATTTCAGATTTTAAAAATCACTGTTATGCTCTGCTGGAGAAGGAGGGGCAGTCTCCTCCTGTACCAGTCAGATCTGATTTGATGGTACACACACACAAAATAATAGTAATAAAAAAATCACTGTTAATCACTAATCAGTACCCATAACTGCCAGCGTTTCTACGCAAAGCCTAGCTTTAAAGCCTGTTGCCTCAGGTTATATGTTGTTATGTGCCATCGAGTCATTTGCGACTCACAGTGACCCTATGTACAAGAGCCCTAAATGTCGTTCTATCCTGTGCCAACCACACTGTCTCAAACACATTCATTCCCACCACTCCACTCACATATCATCGAGGGTCTTCCTCTCCTGAGGCTGTCCCTCCACTTTCCCAAACATGATGTCCCTCTCCAAGGACCAGTCCCTTCTTTGCAACATGCCCAAAGTATGTCAGACAAAGCTTCAGAATCCTTGACTCTTAAGGAACATTCTGGCTTCACCCTCTCCAGGACAAACCTGTTTGTTCTCCTAGCAGTCTGTGGTATATTCAACACTCATCTCCAGCACCACAACTCAAAGGCATCAATTCTCTTTCTATCATCCCTGTTCACTGTCCAACTCTCCGATGCATAGCATGTAATTGCAAAGACTATAGCTTGGATCACGCACACCTTAGTCTCCAGCCTGACGTTGTTGCTCTTCAGTACTCGAGAAGTCCTTCACAGCTGACTTTCCCAGTGCAATTCGTCTCCTGATTTCCTGTCTGCTGTTACCAAGAGTGTTGACTCTGGAGCCAAGCAAACTACAACTGCCAACTATCAATCTCTTCACCATCCATAATACTGCCAGTTGGCCCAGTCAGATTATATACCCAGTAGAATTTAGATCTGGAGGCCCTGGAAAATGCAAGTGAACTAGGGGAACAGACTTCACTTTTGTCTTATTTTCTGAAATTGTCGTGTTGGATGATAACTGTGGAGGTGCTGGCCTCAGTAAATGGTGGTAGACAAACTGAGGCTCTGAGGAGACCTGGGCCCCATCCCAGCTAAGGGGCTCTTCGCATGAGTGGTTGGAAAAAGGAGTGAGCAGACAAAAGCAGCAATCTGTCCCTGGTATAATCCACCCTGCCTCTGGCCACTAGAGAAGAATAAGGTGGGATTCTGGAGCAGAGGACGTCCCCTACGTGCCTTCTCATGAAGCATAACTCCCACCCAGTGTACTTTATAGGGTTTCACTTCAGCAGGAACACAATACAATTGTACAGGTCTGTACATACTTCCGCATGCATTGGTAGAGGGATTCATCTCAAGGATTTCCCAGACTGATTGTCAGCTGTGCAGGTCTTCATGTGTACAGGTACATAAAGTGATGCGTGGAGAGAGGCATATGCACAGGTTGAATCAAGCAGGAATGTCTCTTCTCTTGGAGTCCTATAGTCCCAGGTCAGAGGTAATTGGAAACAAGATGGGTGTCCCCCAATCTCCCTCTGAGGCCCAGGAATACTAAGGGATGAGACCTGTTCTCTTCTTGTGGGTCTTGAGAATAGGCCAGAGCTTTAGCCTTCAATGTTTAGCGGGACTTCAGATTCTTGCTGACTGCTTGGGAAGGGAGACTACTGTATTTTTAGGCTCCTCCCACCTTAGCCCAGGAGCACGTGGGGCTGTTGGTGGTATCCTGCCCTGACTATGCCAAGAGGATTGTGGGCAGCTTTGGAAGTGGAGAGCATTTCTGTGAGTCAGGGTTCTGTGGTTCAGGTCTCTTGTACAAACCAGCAGTAGCCACATGAGTAGCTTCTACTTTGGAAAGCTGTCTAGCCAAGAACCAGTGAAAGCAATCTTTGTTCATTGCAATATCTTAGTTCATGGCTGCCGAGTTGACTGTCCAGCAAGTTTTCAGAGGCTGTAATTCTCATCGGAGGAGATTGCTCATCTTCCAGGGAGCTGCTGCTGGTGGAGTCGAACCATGTGTCTTTGGGTTGGAACCGACCCTTAGCAGATCCTCCTGCGGGTTTTCAGAGGCAGTTAATTGCAGGGGAGGAGATTGCTCACCTGCCATTGAGCAGCTGGTGGATTCTAACCGTTGCCTTCAGGATTGCAGTTCAGGTTCTAGGCCAGTAGAGCTCCTTAGTGCTGCCCTTTTAACCAAGGTAGGAGAGTTTCACCCCTTGACTTTATTATTGAATAAAATCTTTTGCTAACATTTCTGTATTTAGATGAAATGTATTTCTTGTAGCGAGCACTGATCCATATGGAATTGCACTGCTAACCCAAAGGCAGAGCCTCTTTGGTGGTTTGAATCCACCAGTGACTCTATGGGAGAAAGATGAGCAGTCTCTTCCCATGAGAACCCCAGAATTGACTTTAGAAACCCCTCAGAGGGCAGTGAAAGTTTCTGGTAACAGGGTGGGAAAGGGCCCAGCAGGTGGAGCTGCTGCCTCTTTGCTGGGATTAGTTCTCTGGTGTGTTGTCCACCCACCTAGTACACTTTGCTTCTGTTAAAAGCCGCCTTGCACTCCCTACAAATGCTTGCTTTTATTACATATGAGACTGTGGGAGAGGGCACTGTGAAAAGAGCTTTTCTCCCCCTGACACTGAGATTGGTGTGGCCCCAAGAGGAAGCCTCAAGAAGGAACGGCAAAGGCTTTTATGGGTTCATTGGTAGTGAGGACCATGTGTGAAGCTTATCTCCCATGTTTCCCAAAGAGTGGTTTCACCAAGACCTAATAGGGGTCTCCACGTGCGTTTCTATTTGTACCTTTCTGTCTCTCCCCATGCTGCTGACTGTGGGGCACTGAGCAATTAGAGCTGCAAGTCCTCCAACAGGGAAGGCAGCCAACAGACGCAGACTCACTCTGCCTACCTGTGGAGGCCGGTGAGGCCAGGCCTGTTGGGACTTGAAATAGTGAGGCAAGGAGGAGTGTGGTGCTGGCCTCCCTCCCTCCTCCAGCTCTCTTGGCATGCCAGTTCCTGGAGCCTCATGCACAGGGTGTTGGGGAAGGGCAGGCTGAAGCTTGGGTGGGAGTTCTGGCCCAAAGCCTCAGGTGAGTGGAAGAATTGGGGGTGAACCTGAAGTACCAGTCTGCGGGCTGAGCTGGCAGCTGCTTCCTGAGGTCAGAGGGTGCATGCTCCCTAGCCAGCCAGGTCACGTGGCTTCCCTTGCTAGCAGAGCTTCCACCCAGCTCCGTGGGTCTGTCTCAGCATCTAGTGTGAGGAAGGATCAGACAGAAGCTATGAAACAATGACAGGCAGAGCTTCCTCTCCCAAGTCCACCAATTCAGAGTGAAAAGCTGGAAGAGGCTTGGAGGTTCATGCTTCTGCTTGTTCTCTAGTCAGAGGACACAAATCTCTTCTGCTTTCCCCTGTATGATGATGAATTTCACTTCACCATTTGATTGAGAACTCTTGTCCTACTCTATCTCTCCTAACTGAAGTTCATGCCTCATTCTCTCTGTCCGGTTTTGTCCATTTTACTTCATGGCTCCAGTGATAGTAATGGCTTTTTCTTTCAGGTGAGGGGGTGCAGGCTGCTGGGTGGCTTTTAGAGTCTGGAGGATAGGGGTAGAGACTGGCACCTAGTAATTTCTAGGCAAGAGATCTATCCTGGAACTGCTGTGTTTGGGGCTAAGAGAAGAGTGGGAAGGGAACCCTTCGCTCTCCCCTGTCCCCTGTCACCTGATGGCCTT